ATAAGCTTTTTCAAGATTGATGTGGAAACATCTCGGCAGCCATATCTACGGCAAACCTGGTGAAATGGCCAGAATTGATATTGATCAACACTTAGGAGTATTTTAGTTATCACAATTGACCGGCGGACTCAGCAGTCCAAGTAGGATCCGTTTCAGATCGATCTTTTAACCTACTATTATCCTTAATCTAGTACATAATTTTCCCTGCGGCTTCATATGGGACAATTTGAAAATGGACAAAATAGCAAAATTTGAACCAAGCCTTAAATATATAAAAAAAATTATTTCGGTCTAATGAAAAAAATGGCTCCTGCGCTTTTTTTTCGAATGACTGTTAGATTAATGAATTATTCGTTAACATTCTCTGGTGAGAGATGATTTGGAAGATAATTTGAACAACATAATCACAACCACAGCGTGATTCAAAACTTCAACAATTTTACAACTCATAAAGAGCGCAATATAAAAGCGAGTTCGAGGGACGACGTTAATTAAAGAGTTATTACTTCTAACGATCTAGCGGTAATGTCAAAGCTTTTCAAGCAAAAACAAAAGTTACGAGCATACCTGTCGCTACAAAACCGGGATGTATCAATTAACGAGCTTTAAGGTTTCAAAGTGTTTTACTCGGTTTATTGCTCATTTACTGGGTATTAAATGAGCGCACTCATTCATCTGACAAAGCATATTTGCCGCTATAAATTCCCTACACTTAGCCGAAGTGATTAAATAACGAGGACAGGAAGCGGTAAGCGGAGAGTCAGAGCAGCGGCGGTAAGTGCAGAGAGTAAGGGACATAACAGGAACTAATGGAAAACCACTTAATTATCTACTTGATGAGGGTTTCATACCAAAGCTTTGCCGCTATCAAGCTGACGACGATGTTGTTGTGCACATACGCAGATGCGTCTTAGCAATTGTGCGTAAATGTCGTAAATGACATCTTCTCATTTTGCTGATGCTACCAAAGCAAATGCGCGGCGCAGTTCGATTGCTTAGTGTAACGATAGAATTAAGTTGTCAAAGTGTCACAGCAGTAAGACTGTACGCGATGTAAGGCGACAACGAACGACAATGGTCAAGCACGTCAACGAACGCGTACAGCAGAGAAGAAAGAGCGGCAGCAGCGAGGCAGTAATGTAGTTGCTTTTAATGTGTCAGTCGAGCCATCGGTGCGTTGAGCGGACTGCAACGCGGCGGATTAACTAAGCGCAGGAGCGATAAACACTCAAATAGCGACGCGGCGCGGTGCGTTTACAATTACCAAGCTAAAAACCACTGCTAACGCCTTGATGTTATGGAATTTTTGCATTACGCGCAATTGAGATGCTGACTAAATTCCGCGCGCAAATACATCACTAAAAGCAGAATGCATTTTGGTTGGGCCTTAAAGGGACGAGCGCAGCATAAGCGCTATAGCGAATGTATAACACTCAAAATCAATTGACAAGCCAAACAGCGCGCGTTCATTGTCGTTGCATTGAAACGCATTAAGCGCTGCAATAAAAACGAAACGAAAGCAAATAAGTGAATATAAAAAGGGAGACGCAGTGTGGCTTTTATATTTTCAGCGTTAATTTATTCCCAAGTGAGCGCGCGCGCATGCGTGCGCGGATTGAAGAGCAACTACCGCGGTGCCCCTATGACTACGCTAAGATGCTGAAGGTTCCTATCATCAAACAGCCAACTAACTAAAGCTCCTCAACTATCTTTGCCGCACATATATCCGCAAGCAATCTGTTGATGCAGTCAAGCCAATCAACGGCGCACATATTTCGCAAAAGTCAGCGCATCAGCATTGCGTCAGTCAATCCATTTTACCACCCTGCGCTAGCTGCGGCGCGCTCTTCTCCACATTCAACGTTTGAAAGCGCACGCAATTGCGCACAATGGTGGACTGTTTTAGCCAGGCGCATTAGTTGACACCGCCGCCACAGCCGTCGCCGCTGCTGTTGCTGATTGCTGCCAATGCAGTTATAAAAAACTGGCATAATCTTTGGCACATTTTATATTTCCGGCTTTATGGTCACAATTGCTTTATCGCGGCAGCAATGCGCATTGAATGGTTCATTAAAAAGCATTTGCCAACAAGACAAAAAGTTTTTTTCGTTACTCCTGGCATCGCGGAATTGTGGCGGTCATTAAAAATTGATACTCAATCAAAATGGAAAAATGTCCAGCGATGCCGTGTTATTAAGAGAAAATGTGCACGTGATTGCGTCGACGTGCAAGGAGTGATGATGATGAGTTTTCATTGGCGGTCATTCGAAAAAGTCATAAAGATTTTAACGGTGAGCAAGGAAAATTAAAATTTATCATTTCTGTCGAAAATAGCTTCCCTTGATCGATGAATAAAAGAAAAATCCACTTTCAAGATGTCTACAAAGTTATTGAAGTGACCGTAATTCGTGCGCTTTTACTGTTTTCAGATACGCTGAGTTATAATTGAGCTACGCACTTCGCTGATATCACCAAAAATATTGCCTATCAAATGATTTCGTGGCTACTTGCGAGTATGTACCAATAAACCACCAGATGTGGAATTTGTGGAGAAGTGAGAAGGCAGAAGTCGAAATCAAAATGAGTTAATTGAAATTGCATAATATTATGCAATAATACAAGAACAATATGCGACAATACTAGAATATGAGAGAGGTCCGATAAGTACGCAAGATACCATAAATTTTTATCGTGTTAAAGAGAGCAATTCCGGTCGGTGATTCGATTTTTGTTCTTGTAAAGGAAATCGCGCAGTGAAATTAAAGTGTGCTCGCATCCTGTATACGGTGGCTAATCGCCGACTAAAATTGGTTTAACGATTTTCAACATGATCGCATGTCGGTTTCCGATAAGCCACGCCCCGATGTCGCGAACACGGCTACCACGAAGAAGAGCGTGACATAAGTTCAAGATTTTCTACCATCGCTTAAAGGTGCGCGATGGAAATGAAAAAATAGGATATTTCGTGATCGCTGACGATACAGGGATACAGATCGGCGAACGGGCTCCGAAGACTGCACTGTCGAATGATAAAGGAATAGCCATCGTTTTCTGGGATTCAGATAACATAACAGTTTCATAGAAAACTTTTCGATTTGGAGAAGAAAAAAAGTACTCTTTCTCCATGAAAACGCATAAACTCACATCTCCGCCGTCGTCAGTACCAAATCACTTGAATCAGGATACGAATTGTAGGCCACCATATTTACCAGATCGGCAACTCGAGCTCACTGTCTGCGATGGGTGGTGTTTCGACTCCAAGGACGCCATTCACTGTGACGGAGTCGATGAAAGTGTTGATAGCTCCACTGTGAATGGCGTTTAATACACGTCTGAAGTTGGTCGCGTCCGAAATCGCGTCGGTATATCGTTGAAGTTCATCGACGTTTAAGAATGTTCTCTTTCCTGGAGAGGAGTGCATTATGTTACTCAACCGAAAGCATGCGGACCTCACCATAAAGTGCTAGAGACTTGAAGATCTTGGTGCCGCTTTGTACTTTAGTAATGATTGCGGTCATACAAGTATACGGAGTAAAGGAATACAGACTATCAAACTTAACACCCCGGTTACATATGATCGACTATTTTGGGAGGTAAAAATTATGTATGAACTACAAATTATATGTTTGTCGTAAGTTTGAGGAGCTAAATAGTTAATCTCGTATTGAAATTTTTCCCGAACCAAATTTAACAGGTTATATATGTTGGAAAGGAGTATGTGGCATAAAAGTAGCGGCACAACATTGAGTTTATGACTGAATCGCAATCTATAAAAGACCCTTAGGACGACTTATCAAAAGTCCGAAATCTAGGTTGCCATCATATTAATACTCCCCGACCCACTAATATTTTATTTGAATTTGTTTACAGCGCGCAGGTCTCTCATGAAGGAATTACTTGCATGACAGTAATCGCCTCCGCCCGCAAATATTTAATAAAAGATCGCTTTAGACACAGCGACATTTTACCAGACGGCACAATCTATTGACGCGGAAGGCGGCGCTGGAATGTCGTTGCTGTAACTGCACGAAAATTAGATAGAAAGGTATTAGTATTAACGTGCGCAATATATCTTTGGAAAATCTGCGAGCTAATGACATTCGGAGATTTATTGTGCGTGCGATAAGAAACTACATCGTTCAAATGTACGATTACACATACACGTGTCGGTACAAAAATACATGTTGCAGAGTGTGTCTGCTTGTAAAAAAAAAATGCGGACGGGCTTGTAAACATCTCCACGAAAGCGCATTTATGCATAAATTACAAGAACATACATTCACATACACACGCATAAAAGCACATGAATATGTATGAGTATGTATGTAGCAAACGCGCCAGCTAATCAACACCCGCATGCGCCGCAGCCCACAAGCTGCCACCAGCAAGCAAACGAGGACACAAACTAAGCAACAACAACAACCAACCACCGCCAATGACATGCAGCAAGTGTGCGGCGGACAGTTACACTTTAAAAATGCGTAGACTTGGAAGCATTTACTAAATCGTAGATTTCGGTTCGAAAAAATACGCATAGCGCAACAAGATTTACGAGCCAAATTGCGTTGCAATTATAATAAAAGTAAAAAAAAAAAAAACTTTAATCAATTAATAAAAATATTGGCATTTTCTCACCAAAAATGGTCAGTCCAAGTCATGTGCATATACATACGTATATACCTATACGAGTTGAATTAAAAAAGAAAAACGTGTGCGCATGCGCAGCGGCCACTTTTAGGATTTTAAATACAAATTTCTCACTTAACGCAAAACAACTTTGATTGATGAAAATATTGCTGATAATTACTAAATTATTTAATTTACGTACTCGTATATGCGATAATAGGCGATTAAGTACAACAAACTTCATCAAAGCTTAAAAACGTTTTAAACTTTTGATTGATTCGCCAAAGTAATGCAAAGTAAAATTCCGTTGATCAACGTTGACATATAAAATCGGCAATATTCTAAACAGTTAAATGTATCAGACAAAGCCAAAATAAATACATACATACAGCTGTATATTATGGTATAAATTACATATATTTTTACAGTAATTGGCTAACGACAATAACGTAACTATAAAAATTGCCACACATTGAAGGGGCCGCACGCTTGAATGTCCCAAGTTCAAGAAGGAAGGTTCAGACAACTTGGAGTTGCAAGGTACGCTCCTCCGTTAGCGACGACGCGGTGTTATCGTAACGCACGAATTTGTTTACCTGGAATGCTTCATCTTCGTGATAATCTGTGTCGACGACAAATACGTCTACCACCTTTTCGATGATGTACTGCTCCTGCTGCAGTACATTAGTTAATAATAACGGACTGATTTTGATTAGTCCAAGACGTGCTGGACAAACTGTAAGCGGAAACTCGCGCTGTTCACCTGGCGTCAATTTACCAATATCGAATTCAGCTGCACCCGTGTAATCGCAACCAAACTCAAGCAGTGCTTCTAATTTCGCCAGCAAATCCATTATGCGTTCCGCGGTATTTGTGACGCGACACACAAACGTAAAAGGTTCGCCTATTTTGACAATATTTTGCGCATCGATTACTTCCAGTCGCACATCTTTGTATTCGAATGGCTGTGGGAAAATGTGATTAACTAAATGTAAATTATTTAAATATATTTCATAAATACCAAACGTTGTAATTGACTCGTTTGCAAACGTCCCTTTTCGCCGAGATTCGAACGCCACACGATATCTAATTTTCCCACATTGTTTGCTTGTCGTAAAGCTTTTATGTCTTTTGCGATTTCTGCTTTGGGCTAATAAAAATATACAATAATAATTATGTTTAATAAATGTATGAAGCTTGTAATACCTTTATGCAATACAAAAACTGGCAGCTATTATTTGGTTGTAACATATTCTTAGAAGAGAACACTGACTCGCCATTCGATAAGGTGTTCAGTGGTGTGACAGTGTAGTGTTCCGAACTGTCCAACTCGACCTTTTCCAGGCAAAACGGTCCGGTGGTAATATTTTGTATTTGCGCTTCCAAATATATTTCATCCATTTCGGCATTGTAAAACTTAGTTTTCACATCAAGTGGTTTGAGTACTTGAAATTTGAAGAATTTACGAAAAGATTGTGGAAATCCAGCAGGAGTGATATAATTCACTTCACACACCAAACTAAAAATTTTAACACGTCAGCAGGCTAACAGGTTTATATAGCGCATTTCTTACTTACATATGTGTTCCTATTTCTTTGACTTCGTATCGTATGACATCGTCAAGCGTTTGGTCAGGTGATAGTGTAGTGCTGGTTTGCTTTTCATTCATGGGTAAATTAATACGTGTGGTATTAGACTGTAGATCAGCTTTCACTGTAACACCCTCAACAGAGTAAGTAGTACAATTGTGGACGCAAATGTAGCTTGCGAATGTTTCACCTGTAGACAAAGGCATAATGAAAACAATATTTTCAATATATTATAAATATATTACCTAAGTATATAGAACCAAACGACTGTGGAAGTAACATAAATTGTCCTGCGGCTAAGGTTTCCGCCCCCGCAACTGTAGTAGTCTCATGCTCAACCATACGACGTCGAAATGTTTGTTGGGGCAAATCTCGATTTTCGCAGGAAATCACTTGCGGACCAATGAGGGTAGGCCTTGTCAGCCTCATCACTTAAAACAAAGCTAGTAAGTAAATAAATAAAATGTTATATGTTTATTATTTTACTTACCCTTCAAGGCCAGCAAATGTTCACCCTGCTCCAGACTCATTGTAATCTCAATGTTTATTTTTGCACATCACAGATGGAAACAAAATATATTTTATCTTTTAGACAATTTGTTAACAAAAAAACACCAATGCGAAACGTCAAAGTAACAATAACAAATGCCATATCGTATCAAATTATGACTAACCATTGTTCGTAATAGTTAAATCACTTAAAAATTGTCAAAATTTGTATGCAAACTCCCACAAGATTTTAAAAAATAAAAGATAAAGGCTTCAAAAGTATAAAACCTTCAATATATAATATATAGAGAATACATTGTAGAAATTATGGTCAATAAAACTATACGTGTATTGTATGAAAGAACACAGGCAACTCTATTCATTATCCAACATGAAAATATTAAACAGCTGACCAAGCCCGGCAAGTTATTTTTTGACATTTCTCCTCTAGATCAAGTCATGTAAACAAATGATTTGTTGTACGTTTCATAATTAGTATACAATCTAAAAGCATTTGCATAAAACACAACAATGGAGGGTAATGGCGATGAAGAGATTACCAATCAAGATCCTTTACCACTTGAACGGTCAGGAGTAGTCAGAGAAATCGGCAATCAAGCTGTGTGGAGTTTGTCATCCTGCAAACCAGGTTAATACGATTATTTATACACCTTATGAAAAAGCGTTTAGAAGGTTTATTTGCAGGGTTTGGCGTTGAACGTCTGCGCGATAATATAATTGACACCTATTGGCAGTCAGATGGCCAACTTCCACATCTTGTCAATGTTCAGTTTCATAGAAAAACTCGTATTAGTGCTGTTTATTTATATGCTGACTACAAACTAGATGAAAGCTACACGCCATCACGTATTTCTCTGCGAACTGGCTCAAATTTCAATGACTTACAAGAGTTGCAAAATCAAGAACTTTTCGAACCTACAGGTGAGTACTGATACTTAGCGATTGTGGTGATATACATACAAAAAGCCTCATTTCAGGATGGACTGCTATACATGTGGAAAATGGTAAATCTCGTCCTGTACGTATATATATGTTACAAATTGCGATTGTGGCAAATCATCAAAATGGTAGAGATACTCATTTGCGGCAAATACGCATACACGCACCAGTCGAAAATTCGAAAGAGAAATTTACTTCAATCACTTTTAAGAAATTCGATAATATAAGATAAGGAATTTTGCGTGATAAGTAAGGATATAATTTTTCTTAATTATTTTATAAACTTACCCCTTAATTGTATTATTAAACATTTTGGTCATAAAAACATTGCTGGTTTTATAATTTGGAAACACTTGTGACTGTTCTCTAGCATTAGGTTTCGTCTAGGAGTAAGTTTGTATTATCTGCACATCTACCCACAAAACCATTCTAACACTACAGTGCAATTATATTTTTAAATTTTGGTATCACATCTTGTATTTTTTTATCTTGGATAAAACTTTGAATTGTACGAACATTGTTTACATTTAGCTTTTGTATATTTAGGAAAGACTTCCATCCGCGATATTCAAATTATACACAGGGTGATTCAGCTTGGTGTAAAACTGCCCGATTGTAAAACGTCATATGCGACAATCATATGTTTGTCAAATGCACGCCGGCAACAAGATTTATTTTTGTTTAACATAATTGGAATAAACAGTGAAAGTTGTGTAATCTCGTAAACAACGAGATATTTCTTAAATTAATTATTGTACTATAAGTTTTAACAATGTGGCCTATTATAATGGCAATACTAAGGCGAAATGCGGTCTACATAACACTGCCCATTGCTGGAGTTGTGGGATTAATTGGTTACAACCTGGAAAATATACTATCTGATAAATACACGCCATATAACAGTAAGTGTATCCAGAATGACATTTTAGACATCTGATAAATTTTTAATTCCAATAGAATCCATACTTGAAAATCGAGCTGAACGATTAGCAGAGGAAGAATTAGCTGACCCAACACGAGTGGATAAGCTGCGGCTGAATGTGAATGTTCTAGAAAGAAATTTATCTCCCTCCCTTCAGCCAAAGTAATTATTTTAAAATTATGTTACTTTAGGAATGAAACACTAATCTTTACTCAAAAATTGTTGTATATTTTTCATTTAAAATGATGCTTTTATCTAAAAATCTGAATCGTGTCTTATGTAAGAAAAAATAGTAAATGTTAGATGATTTATGGATGTTATGAGATCGCAATATAAAATAACGTAATTTGTGTAAGAAAAACATGCCTCATTTCGTTTCAATCCACAACTGCAGAGCCTGACTCAAATAGTTTTTAATGTACATAAATGTATATGTATGTGAGCAAACTGCGGTACCTACCACGGCATCACAAAAAAGGAGAAACACATACTCTGATAAGTTCAGGTAGTTGTAACTTTGTCTACAAGGACATCCCTTGCGGGGATCGAACCCGCGACCTTTGGATTAGAAGTCCAACGCGCTATCCTCTGCGCCAAAGGGACGAACGGAGGAGCGCCGACCATGTGCTCTCACAGATATTTAGTAGTCGTGTTAATCCTTTAGAACAGAAGATATTGTGGCACACTCATCATTTCTTTAAATAAAATTCAATCAGATGCCAACTTGCTTCTAAAGGCGAAAAGTTACTAGCATATAACTGTTACATTTTATAAAAATACAGCGTTTTTACTGAGTGCGCAGCAAAAAGAGCACCAACATACAGTAGTGACATCCCTTGCGGGGATCGAACCCGCGACCTTTGGATTAGAAGTCCAACGCGCTATCCTCTGCGCCAAAGGGACAAGTGGTCGGTGCTTGCAAAATGACAATTACGAAGCTGCTGACAAGCTATCACAGAGTGCTCCACGTCAGCATTTTTCAAAGTAGGGTGTGTTTACAGAATAAATAACGAAAAAATCTCAAGTAATGAAGAGGTTTTGTTCTAAAAATAAATAATCCATATTCACAGAATATGTATGTACATCAATAGTCTATCATTTGCCCAATACGAATTTATAAACAAAATATAAGTTATATAACAATTTACAAGCAATCGAATTTACAAATAAATAAAAAATAAAGTAAAAATGCGTAAATAATTCAGTAAAATATTTGTGATTAATCTTAATAACATTCTTAACCTTAGGAGCTATCTGGTGAACATGTTCTGGTAATTATTTTTACAAAGGACATACTGTTGTAATCATATGTTATTTATCGAATACCGTTAATATATTGTCTTTTCCCGTATCTAATGGAGTATACAGCTTAAGTAAAGTCTGGGTACGGAACTTATATTTATTGCTGGTTTGATTGTTTTAATAATTTAAAGAGTTTTACAAATATACATTTTCATTTTATGAATTCTTTACTGCTTTTCACAAAAGTTTTTCGCCTACTAATAGTTTTAACGGGTCTAATTTTCATGTCACAGTTAACCTAAAACTGAACTTTTTTCACTGCGCCAAAATGTAGGCAACTTCTGTCATGTTAATCTTTGATATAGCGGAATTATTGCACGATAATTTATGGATGTATGATATAAGCTTTACTATAATCATTCTAAATGGCAAAACTAACAAATTGTGCTATATAAAGAACGCGAAAAACCCTTTGGGGTTTCGCCATATAAATGACGTTAGTCAGTGGCGACAACAAGTCTGAATTTTATATAGTACTAAGTTCAGTTGTCTTTAAACCACTATATTTGCTTAAAGTATCGCTTGAAGAATTCTACTATTGTATGTAGAATCTCAGTGCAGTGATTTTTTCCCATTTTTCTCTTATGTCTGTTCTAGAACATTTCATTTATATACACCTTTCGGTCCTATATTTAATACAGCCTCGGTGGCGCAGTAGGCAGCGCGTAAGTCTCATAATCTTAAGGTCGTGAGTTCGAGCCTCACCCGGGGCATAACTTTTTTACTCGTTGACTTTCGTTAATACAAATGTATAAATTTACCTTATCATAATAATTTGCAAGGAATATTTGTTCACTGTGGTTGTGTTATTGATTTTGTATGCGCTCAATACAGTTGCATATGTTCACATTTCCTTCATTTTCATATCCTTTGCGCAGCTAAGTTCTCTTTGTTCTCAAATACAATTTATTGCGGATTTTCTCTTATACATTTTCACCATTCGCTTAAACTTACATACCCAACAAGTGTTGAAACTAAAATCTATTGAGAAAACATTAGCTTACTTAATTAACACCAATTACCAATTGTTTTCTTAACATTTAGAAAATCTATTTTAAATTCCGTTATAACTGCTGATGCGCCAATTGACTATGGTAAGGCTGCTCACTTGCCCATGCGTTGTATGGACCACTCCTGTTGACAGAGTGGACAGCGGTTATTTTGTTTCACCCAGAGCGACATGCAACAATGATGGAATGAGTGATTACATTCTCCCCAAACTACTACGCAGTCCTGGCGGCCAAGCACCTCACGTTTATTCTCCGCCTGACAACGTAGACAAGCGTCTGAAAGAAAGCAAACGAGAAAGATGAGAAAATACAAAGATGATAAATTAGTTATGTAAATGTTTTATTTGCGATTTTTACAAATTTACATTTTAGATACAAAATAAAATTCTTTTCCAACACACTAACAGAGTTGATAATCAACTAAGCATGTATCAATGTACTTATGTATATATGTACACATAAATTATTTTATATATGTACATAATATTTGCACTGCATTCTAATTGCCACACAATACAATATCAACCGACAAATGTAAACACTTGAGGAAATTAGGGGACACATTGTGCCAGTCAAACCGTGTGTCCACCCACCTGCATATATACATAAGTACGTATGTGTGGGTGTGCGCATGTGCCCGCAAGCCCTCAAACAAAGCGGTTGTTGGAGGTAACAAATGCGCCACTGACGACATTGAACTTCAATTAGTAATGATTTGCATGCTCGCAATTCCTGCAAATGTACATGCGCACGCACATGAGCATACACTAACACAACAATGGCCCTAGTGTAACCACTCCTCCACTTCCTCCGATGACGTCTACCATATTATCAAATACAGTCGATTTCATCATTTCTGCGTTTGTTGGGCATTGGAGAGTGCCATCAATAGCAATAATTGAAACAACATCACTAAAGAGTAGATATATAATATACGTACATATCCATATGTATGTTTACAACATACAAACTTATCTACATATGCAATATGTATTTGCTATGTTTATAATTGGTATTATTTATGAAAATTCTTTAATGAATACATAATATAAAAAGCTTTGGTTATTGTTTTGGGTACGAAGCGTGTCAATGCGAGCTGAAACCAAAAGAAACAAAATTTTCTAATGGAACTGAAGACCATCCCAGCCGAGGATCTTAACAGGTGTATGGAAAATTGGACTCAGAAGTTTAAATGAATTATGAATGAGCCTTTCGGAAATTTTTAACTTTCACAACCTTTATGTGGTACAAGGTGCACAAAGAGGAAGAACTGGTGTTAACAAATGTTTGAAACAAATTGTATTTTGGCTGATTTTCATACAATATTTTGAAAATAGATTCTGTTTTAAATATATAATAAATATTAAACAAAATATATTCGAATTATTGCTCTACAAAAATGTAAGAATACCAGTATTTTAGTATGCGTAATTCATCAAAGGATTAAAAACAAATTTATATTCGTATACATATGTATGTATTTAGCTATAGTACACAACGGTATGTAATTATGCTGTTTGCTAAGTTCCAAGTAAACAAGTGCTTTTGAACGAGATTTTGGTAAAAATAGTAATTATTTGTTTATTTAAATTTTTTCGCTTTTTGCTCTAAGCAGCTATTGGCAAAATCTTTATTTTTATGTATATTCATAGAAGTATATCTACATATACATATAAAAATTACGCATCACGTTTTGTCCGGAGTAAACTCTTAAACTACTGACCCGATTTCAGTAAAATTTAGCACACTATGTCCAGCTTGATCCAACTTAAAAGATATGATAATTTATATCTCAATTATGTTAAAAGTCAAAACAATTATTAAAAAAAAAAATTTTTCTAAATATAAGCATATGTTCAAAATTTGAAAAATAATTATTATTATTATTTTGAAAATTCATTGTTTTCTTCCATTGACAAATATTTGTATCAATCATTTTCAAATTAAACCTCAAGTACAATCCCTTGGATGCTTTAACCGGCATTAACGTTTTCGCTTTTATTCGTATATATTTTCATTGTATTGAATAGTTTATTATAATAATATTTAATAATACAGCCACAGCACACAGTGGCCCGATCTACTATTATAAATATATAGGTAAAGATTGAAATAAATAATTTTTAACAGAGCTAAAAAAAAATATCCAAAAACTGTAATCACAAAGACGCACCTAAAAAAATCGAAAATACGGCCAAAAGTATGCCTTAAATGCCATAAGAGCGATTTAAATTTATGGTGGGAAAAGTTTAGACAGTAAAATTTTGCAATCAAGGAAAACAGCTTCCGGTGACACATGGTCACATGATTCAGCGAAACTATTGTTGCTTACATCCAAGAAAATAGTAAAAATGCAACTGTGCATGATTGCTAGGAAATTTTTTACAAATTTCTGTTTGCGTAAGATTTTGTATAACTCGTTTTCGAGAAATCAAGACGTAAACTGCTTTCTTTATGCTGATCAAGCATATCTAGTTTCAAATAAATTTGATTTAAAAAAAATATATTTTTCAAACAGCAAAACTTGTTCATGACGACAAATTCCATAAATAAATTATTATTATGTTTTTAATTAACTGTTTTCTAACTGGTATTCAATGGAGCTACTTATAAAGCATCGATTTAATTTAATAAAATGTGAACACGTTTCTTTTAGGAACATTTTTTCATTAACTAACGGGTAATCATTAAAACACACAAAATTGAAATAATTTGAATGTGTCGTTTCAAGTATTTTTTAAACGTTTCATTCACGGAATTTTTTACGCATTTTCGGTTAAATATTTTTTATAGAATATATGAATTTATATATGTTTGTATGGTATGTAAATTAATTTATTAAGGCGTAAATTACATTTTGTTCGGTGAGTTGTCAAAAAAAAGTACCGTTCAATATATTATATTAATGATGTGTCTTTTTTTACGGCCTAATTGTCTAAATTGTTTTTATCACAATAACGCTGTACACAGCAGCAAATGACATTTTGGATTTTTGGTATTTTTTCTGTTTCGTTCCGTTATAAGTATGACGCAAGCCACCAGGCACTGCCC